GGTCTGGGGGCTCCCGGAACTCGGCAGAAAATCCTACTCGGCGGGCGGGGTGGGGGAGGCACTGCGGAGTGGTGGGGGGCGGCCCGAGGGGCTGGAAGAGGGTCCGGCCCACGCTGCGCCTGGGCTGGGACTCTGTTTTTGCTTTTTGAGGCAGGTTCTCACAATGTATTTCAGGCTGGCCTCAAAACCACAGTGATCTTTCTGTCTCAGCCTCTCAGGTTCTGGGATTACAGATGTATGCCATTATACCTGGTGTTTGCACTTACTATTTTTGAGATTTATGGATCAAATTTACTTTTTCTTTTCATAGTTTTTTGATATATTTAACTTAAGAATGGTTTTAAAAATTTGCATGGAAGAACCAGTTCTTCGTTGCTGCCTTAAGGTATATCAAGTAACTGATATAAATAAACACCAGTGTACACTTACATTAGATACTCTGGACCTCAGAGAGCACTGATTTCTTGTACACCTGTTTTATGATGTTTTTAATGCATACAGTTGTCAGTGTTTGATTGTTACTAGTTTAGTTTAATAAGATATATATATCATAGCACAGAATTGTAGCAGCTTATCTCATTCATAGCTACCCAGTTAGTCATCCAGAGTCTTGCTTGTTTTATATAGTACTTGCTGGGTAGCAGGATCATCAGATAGGGAGCTAGGTCATTTATAAAGACATCGCAGGTACAGATGCCAAATTTCCCCTCTAATTCTCTAGTGGGCCTTTTCAAAATGGAATAATGTTTAGTTTTTTTCAACTGTACTTTGCAATTTTAAACAGCATTATATATTTCTGCTTGCTCTGTCATTACATTAGCAGATCAGAACATAATCTCCTATTTCTAAGATGAAGTAATATTGAAAGCAAGACTTTAGCTGAGATTTCATATTAATATTAGTTATAACTGATTTCCCTTCAAAAGAAAAATAGATTATTTTAAAACTGTTGATATCAGAAGATATGTTTGAAATCATACTTTACAGGTAATAGCAAAATTTTAAAATTAAATCACATTTTATTAAATATGTTTGCCCTGCAGCACATTTGATATTAATGAGTATCATTGACTTGAGTTTGATTGTTAGAATACCTGCTTTTTGTAGCTTAAGTGAACACCAATTTGGAGATCTTAATTTTCTTTTTTTTGTTATACTTGTTCACAGGTGGCAAGCTCTGGTCATATATCAGTAAATTTCTAAATAGAAGTCCTGAGGAAAGCTTTGATACTAAGGAAATGAAAAAATCCACACTTGCTCAGGTTTACCTGCAGCAGCCAGCTTCTAGTCCTCAGGACAGCAGCAGCTTTGAGTCCAGAGGAAGTGATGGGGGAGGCGTGCTCCGAGTTCTGCCTCTGAAGACCAGCCTCACTCTAAGTTCTCAAGAGGACAGCAATCAGGAAGACGATGGCCAGGACAGCTCTCCCAAATGGCCCGATTCTGGTTCAAGTTCAGAAGAAGAATGCACTACAAGTTATTTAACACTATGCAATGAATATGGTCAAGAAAAGATTGAACCAGGGACTTTGAATGAGGAGCCCTTTGTGAAGACTGAAGGGAAGGATGCTGATGCCAAAGTCCTCCAGAGCTTCCCGGCATGCCTTGGTGCAGACAGTGGTGGCTCCCGTGCACAGCTAAGAACTCCCGAGCTCAAGTTCTTCCCTGGAGATGAGGACCGAGAGACAGTTCCTTCTCCTAGAACATCCAATTCCCTTAGCAGATCTAAGAACAGTCCCATGGAACTTTTTAGAATAGATAGTAAGGACAGCACAAGTGAATTTCTGGGACTTGATTTTGGAGAAAAATTGTACAGTCTGAAATCAGAACCCTTGAAGCCATTCCTTGGTCTTCCAGATGGAGACTATACTTCCAGGAGTTTTAATGCCAGTGAGAGCAGAGTCAAGTTTACAGCTGTGGACACCATTAGCAGGGGGTCAGATGACTCAATCCCGGTTATTTCGTTTAAGGATGCAGCATCAGAAGACATCACTAGTACTGATGAAGGAAGGCCTGATCTGCTTGTAAATCTACCTGGTGAATTGGAGCTACCAAAAGAAGTTGCAGCTATGGGACCTATTAAGTTTACACAGACTTCCTTAGGCAAAGTAGAAAATAAGCTGCTGGAGGCCCCGGATGTGTTAGGCCTTGGGCTTAGTACTGAGCAATGCCAAGCCCCTGAAGAAGGCTCAGAGAACCTGAGCAGTCCCTCTAGACCCAGGGCCTGTAGTATACCTGAGACACACGATGCCCAGGAGGACCTGGGAGTGTTATTGGCTGCAGCTGTTGATCATAGCCATTCAGAAGACACGTGTTTGTCATGTAGCCCAGATCCAAAATTTGGACTACGTGGAGTAACTGAGTCAGGATTAAGTGCAAACAACACAGAAGAAAGCTTATTTCATATTTCTAGTCCACTCTCAGGTGCTAATGGATGTAATGCAAACACAGAAACTTTCAAAACTGAAGAAGTGTTGCTGTTTACAGATCAGGCCGATGACTTGGTGAAAGAGGAACCTACTTCTTTATTCCAAAGAAACTCAGAGATAAAGGGCAAGAGTGGGTTAGCGTGGGAAGAAGACAAGGAAATCCATCAGATTTTTGAGGACCTTGATAAAAAATTAGCACTAAACTCCAGGTTTTATATCCCAGAGGGCTGCATTCAAAGATGGGCAGCTGAAATGGTGGTAGCCCTTGATGCTTTACATAGAGAGGGAATTGTGTGCCGCGATTTGAACCCAAACAACATCTTATTGAATGATAGAGGTCAGGAACTTTTGCAAATGCATTTCTTTTTATTCGCTGTTGCTTCCAATTAACTGAGTAGGCGTTTTATCTTGTAATTAGTATCTTCATTTCCTGTCTAGAGCTTCATTATCAGTGCGGCAAATTCACCCCCAGTAATAGCTTCTAGTACTTAATGATGCCATTATTCTTAATGATACTGTTTTTAGCTACAAAAGGAGTAATTACAGTTCACTTCTGCAGAAAATGGAAGAGAAAAATGTTTTGATTTCTCCTGTCGTTTTGTTTTTAGGACACATTCAGCTAACGTATTTTAGCAGGTGGAGTGAGGTTGAAGATTCCTGTGACAGCGATGCCATAGAGAGACTGTACTGTGCCCCAGGTTAGAGCGATCTCCTAAATGATTCACTTTTTCAAGTGGCTCAGCAGCTCTTGTTTCTTTATAGAAGTTATGTATTTCACTAGCAGCCCTCATATGTGTTGGATTTGGTTGTCTCTTTTCTTATCTTTGTGGAAAGAAAATTACAGGATAAAACATCACATAATCCCCAGATGCGTGTTTATATGTACATATACGTGTATACACATCTATTGTTCTTGTTAAGAGTTTGTATTTCCCCTGTAGTAGATTCTTAAATGTGCCTTAGCCTAGTGTTTAGAAGAGCCTTTTCATATGCTGAATGTCTTTACGTGGATGATTTTTACAACTTGTGAGAAGTGGCAGTTAAGAATAAAATTTGTGAGGCTAAACATGGATGAAAGTGCAGTGTTAACAGTGCCATAATATTTCAGTGATGAGCCAAGCTGGCATTTCAGAATATATTTTAAAGAGTTCTTTCTGTATTTGAGGTAATTAGGAGATAGGTCCTTGTTTTAAAAAGTAGCCTGTTTAGTCAGTATATGACACAACAGGCTTCCCTTGTCATTACTGTAGTGTGTTGGCGTTTTTAAAATTAGAGATTTATTGTTGTGAACATTTGGTCCTAGGTTGACAGTTTCAAATAGCTTGAGTGTATGACCTGGGTTTGAGTTATGGTACGTTCTATTATGAGTATAGATTGTGATCTATTTGAATTGAAAGTTTGTTCACTTTTTGCCCAGTGTTTAGCTTCTTTGAATGACCAGAGTCCCTCCATTCGTCATCCCTGACCTTTAAAGGAGTTTTAAGTTAATTATGTTAACACAAGTACTCCTACAAATTTTTCTCAAGTAGATAACATGGTGCCATTTTGAAACCTCAGTATGATACAGTTAATATGAGAACAAAAAAGTTCGTAGCGGAATCCCTTTTTATAGTTTTCTGACTCTTAGTCTTACAGACCCCCCACTTTATAATTTGATAAAAAAATAAATTTTATGTACTGATCAACATACGTAAGAGTATTTTTTAAGTATAAAAATTTGGAGGTTTTAGATCTGAATTAAATTTGAGAGTTCTTTTGTGCAGAACTTGTTACATTCTAAAGTGTAGTATAAAATGTGGGACAAAGCCCAACATCTGTGGGATATTATAACGGACTACTTCCTGTTCTTATTGTTACTTTTATATTGAAAACTGTAGTTAGTATTTTTTTTTTTTATTATTTAAGAGAGAGAGAGAGAGAGAGAGAGAGAGAGAGAGAGAGAGAGAGAGAGGTGTGTGTGGCCAGCTCAGCCCACCAGGGGGCAGGGCTGGCTGGCATGTGGTGCTGGGGGATTGAACCGCGGTCCCTGTGCTTTGCTAAGCTTGTTCTAAGTAGGTGCTTTAGACCACTGAGCCATCTCTCCAGCCCTGTAATTAGTATTTTGACATTCTAGCAGATTATTTTTCTTTAGTGTTCAGTAGAATTTTGTTTACTATTCAGAGTTCCTGGCATCCTGAGCTGTAGTGCATGTAGAATAAAACAACATTACCCTCATCTTCTGGTGCATACTTTTAGTTTTGTGTACTGAACATTGAATTTCAAGTTCGCAGTCATGATTCTCATAGTGTACCAGCAGGTGGCAGTGTGCCATTAATAGATTTTTTTTTCCCCCTTTTCTGTCCTTTCAGGTTGTCCTTCAGTAGCATTTAGGAAAGAAAGAAAAAAAAATCACAAAAAATAAAAACCTGGAGTCTAAAGAGGGGCTTTGTTGTAACTATTTGCATAAGAATTGTCTCTTGAAGCTCTGTGAGTTTCGTAAGTGTTCTAATGTCATGGAAAGTTTTGCCTGTCCATGGGCGTCTTAACTTAGCAACAAGGTGAAATAAAACCAGTCATGGCCTTAACAGAAAAATAATGCCAATATTCTGATTTAGATGATCTCAACCCTGGGGGTGGTCAGCGAACTTAGTCAGGTCTGCTGTGCTCTTTGCTTTTGCTTAAAATACTAGGAGATTTGGACCAAAAATTTGTAACGTACAGTTTTTATGAGACCAAATAGCAGTAGTACTCATAAAAACTGTAGGTAGGCATTCCCCCTATTTCAGTGTTTAAATGTAATCTTGGCACTCTGGGAAACTGAGGCACGAGGATCAAAAGTTTGAGTCTAACTCAGACAATTTGAGTGACTTTGTGAGACCTTGTTTCAAAAAAATTTTTTTTTTTTCTTTTTAAAGCCTGGGGATGTTCCTCACTGTGCAGGCCCGTGTTCAATGCCCAGTACTACAAAATAGAAAAGTAAAAATTTAAAAATTAATAAGTAGTTGGGTACTTAATTCTCTTCTGATATATCTTTAGAAACAGCAGGGGGTGAACTAATTCCCCTCCCAAGCCCTCCTCCCCTCCGCCTAACCAAGCCTAACCTTAGTATTATTGAAAAGTAACTCTAAAGCATGTTAAACAGCTCATGTTTGGTTAGAAAGTAAAGTTATCATAAGATTCTGATGAGAGCCGTTCACTTCTGTTTGAACAGTGCACAGTCTCTACCCCCCAGTCCTCCCTCCTGGGAATCCTTATCACATATTTGTCCTAAAAACATTACCCACCTGCCCTGTACTTTATAGTATCAGCAGCATATCTCTTTATCTTGTGGGCAGTGTGCCTTTATATTTGGAGAAAAATTTCCAGTAACAGATTCGATTTACACGGACAGAGACTTGAGCAAATGCCAAGCTAGCAGGGGGGCCATTATTCTGCTCTATAAATAAGTTTAAAACAGAAAAAACCACACACAGAAACCTGTGAATCAACATGTTTTGCTCTAATTGAGGGGAAGAGCAAGATAGATAAGTTTTGAAAAGCAAATGATCACCTTCTGTTATTTAAGAATAGTTTCTACCAACTTTGTGTTAGACTTAGTATTTTCTTAGATTTTAAAACATCCTAGTCAGTTCAACAGCACGTATGGCCAAGGAAGTTCACAAGTTTCTGCAGCAAACCTAAGACGTTTTTTTAAAAGTTGCCTCTTTAAATGTGAAAACAAATCCAGAAAGAAAAAGACAAAAGCCATGGAGCTGTCTCTGTCTACATCTGTGGAAAAGCCAGGACGTAAATGCCTGCAGCTGCAGACCCATCCAGCGGGCTTGAGAATATGAATTCGCTGATCAAACCCAGCCCTGCTTTTAAAGGAGAACCCATTCCCTTTAGGTCCACTTTGTGTCCTCAGATGATCTAGGGTGTTTCTGTAGCAAGGCTTTATTTTAAGTGAACATCACTCATGGTAAATGGGTTCCTCTTGTGCTGCAGAATGGCGTTCAAGAAGAGAGAAAGCAAAGAAATAGTCCATAGAGCGGAGACAGATTGTGCAGCATGACAATAAAAACACACAGGGTCTAGTGGCTGAGTTAGGAGGCTCTTAGATAGTTTACTAGGAGACCTTTAGACAGGTTCCTTTTTCACTGTGAGAGATCGTAAAAACCCAGAGCAGATTAGTGTTGCTTTCCTTAGGACCTCCTCCTCATTACTCCTATTTTACTTCTAGTGAACCTCTCCCAGCCCCCCTCAGTCTGGCCAAAGGGTTGTATATGCTTTATCATTTGATAATGCAGAGTAAATTTTTGTTACAGCATTTTAAATATAAAGGAGAAAATAGTCAAGGCAATGATTACTTTTTCTTTGATAACCAGTACTTTTTTCTTAGCAATCTTAACTATGATTTTTTAAAAAGCAGCCAGAAAAATAACACTTTTATACTGTTAACCATATAGAGCACAAAAGACTATATTTGAAAGCTTAATATGAGATCTAACACAAGTGAGTAAAATTATGTTATTTTGCTAATACTTTATAAGCACTCGTTTCCCATTCTAGTCTTAAGCAAGTCGATATGGTACCTATTAGTGTCTTCAATTTTACTTTCTACCCAGTTACTAGAATCTTTTAATTTAAAAGCTTGAAATTTACATTACTTTTCCCTGAATACTTCTCAGACCGGAGAATTTCTAGGTGAGTGTGTGTAAATTGAAGCAGTCCATAATGCTTTTCACTGCAGCCCAATCTCCGCACTCCCAGATGTCAAATGACAGCTTTGCTTCCTCTGTTAGGCGATTTCACACTTGGAAACAGCTCACAGCTGACAGTGGAAAGAGAAACATAGAAAAACCATGCTGAAGAGTATCTGCAAAATTCAGTGTTAGAGCATGACATTTATTTACTGCCGTGGTTTGCTCTTCCAGCCTGACTATCAAATAATCCATGAATATATTTTTTGAGGGTAGTCTCTTCTGCCCTGCTCCATAAACATACTTTCCACTTGATTTCTTTCTTTTTAAGCGTGGTACTTCGTGTGATAGTTAGGTGTTTCATAATTAGAACTAGGACTCAGACCATGGATGCCTTAAAATGTCTCTAGACCTTCAGAAGTTTCAGATTTAGATGATTTAAATGGCATTGGGAGATAACAAACCTGGCTCTTTGTCCCAGAACAAGCCTTAACTCACTGGATGGTGTTAGACAAGTTACTGAAGACTTGATAGGCCTCAGCTTAACAGTAGTAAAATGAAGAAGTATAAATAAAATCACCAGTGTCAGTTCACTCTTTTTACACAAAATGTAATCAAAATTCAAGTTTATCTTAGTTAAGGCAAAACATTTTCTCCCAAGGATAAGTATTGATTTTTCAACTAATATTAGTACGGTTGAAAGAATTCTTTGATTTAAAGAAACTTTTAGATGTGTATTTTTATTCATGTGTGGAGTTTGTACATAATGCATATCTTCTAGAAATGAGGGATTTATGGAAAATATTTTCATTTACAGGAAGATGTTTATTTGTTTTTGAATGCAGTAAAAGTTGGATGCCAACATTCTCAATAAACATGGTTATTTAAAGAAGAAAGGATTATTTTTTATAAGAAATTGTGAGTTCTAATTTCAACAAAGGAGGAATCTAATTTCAGGAATGTGAAGTTGATTGGGAAAGCAAATAATATCTATGTTTTTAAATAATGATATATTCAGAGATGTCTTTAATCTTAGTGTA